CTGTACATGATGGAACCAAGAAATCGTGGATTTCATCCTTTAAATAATCGCGAGAAGGGTGCTTCCGATAAATGTTCCTTCAGGTAGCGAATTCGTTGGAATTCGCAGCATTGTCATGGCACAAATCATCAAGAAAGTTGTTTCTCTTTAAAATAAATTTTTCAAAGTCATTTAAAATTTTTGAAATTCATGAAGTGATTTATCGTTAACTATGACAATTTTTTGAGAAAATTGTTTCACGTACCAAATACTTGGATATCTTTCACATTTTCTTACATGTCCTTATAAATGTGTAAAAGTCTGCAGCCTAATGATGATTTATTATCATAAGAGTTAGTAGGTTTGCTTTGTTGAACGATTTGTAAGTCGTTTGCCTGAGGTAGAATTTGATATTAATATCTTGAAACTATACTACCTTCTTATCTGAACGAAGCAACTTTTTATCGACTTTTGCATAAAATTTCATCTCAGTGTATCAAATCTTTGCCTACGAATTACAAATATTTAATACTATTTAATACTATTACAATATATATAACAGATACTGTGTGCAAATATTGTTAGCAACCACTATACGTATTATATTCTACATTCTATCTAATAAATACAAATATTAAAAAATACCAAGTACATTAAATAGACTTTAAGATGTGCAATAAACTTTGAATACTCTACAAAATTAAAACAACTTGATCTAAATAATCGTAATAGTGTATAAATATCTTTCTAGTTGTTCAATTAATTGAATTTGTTTAATCATAATTTTTGGATGATACTAACGTCTCCGTAGCAAGGAATGTCTAATTGAAATCACGACGCGACTGCGACTAGCAAACTAATCTCCCATGAAAATGATACAGTCGATCCCATGGGGTGCAATAGGGTATCAAACGGTCTCTATATTGCTTCACACCCTCCCCAACCAGGCTTACGGCTCGTTCACAAAAGCGTATTGTATGCTCACGAAGCCAGGGACCTCAACGTTGTACATTAAATTAGCGTGTCTCTAGGCCACCGTGGTATTTGCCACTTTAGCCGAAGGCTAATCAAAATATTGTTAGATTAAGTCTAAGGCGACCCAGCACGCCAAAAATCGTGAATTGTACATCTGAAATCTAATTTTTGTATTTCGTAAATTCCAAAGCCAAATTTCGTCGTGTTTGGAATTTTACAATCAATGGAAGAATTCAATAATTAGTAAAACGATGTTTTTGCGTGTTTCAAACGTTTCGTCATTTTGTTGCATCTATTCGAGTACACTTTCTTCCTCGATTTTATAATTCTATTTTGCCTTGATATTTCTTGACGTCCCGATGTGTAACAGTCGACAGATTTCTTTAATTTTCTGAATATTTATAATATTTAATGATCGATAGATCGTTAGAATGCTGTTTCTCGAAAAAATATAATAATTACGATCTTATTTATTGAGAGAGATATAAAATAACAAGCATCGTTAATATTTGTAGCCCTTATTTTACGAAAGGAAATTTTCTCAATTTATTTGGACGAGTATATGTGCATCATCTGAACGATGAACAAGCACTCGTTAACGATACTCGAGGAATCGATACAGGCATGCATCTGCCTGCAATCAACGTTAGAAGGGTAGTAAAAAAATGCAGCTGCAATATTCTTCAGTCATTTTCTGTGATGACTCTTTCCAAATGACGTTTTATTGATTTTCAACGAAGCAGAACGAAACTGCAGACTTCTAACTGTGCAGAGAAATAACATTTAACTATTAGAAAAGTAATAACTGTATGGTTTTTCTCTTTTTTTACTAATTATTAAACCGTACTAATTATTAGTCGTTACTATTAATATTAAACTTTTATTAATTATAAAATTCTGAATAAATGAGAAAACATCACAATTCACTTTCAAATTTGGTAAACTTTCGTGAACTGCGTCGAAAAGTTAGCAATTCAAAATCCATCAATTACTCAATTCTATAAAATATTTCATTGTAGCGTTGTATTAATTAGCTTATTTACCTAATTGATTATAAAATTTTTAATACAAGAAATTCACGCTAAGGAAATCAGCAGTATTAAAACTAAGATTATAAGATTGTAAAAAATTGTAAAGTCAGATTTACTTTCAAGCATGGGAGGAATTTCGTCAAAAAAGTTAGCAATTCAAGATCCACCATATTGCTCAGTTCTATAGAATATTTCATTAGAATTAATTATTTTATTTACCAAATTGATTGTACAAAATTCTACAACGCAAGAGGATGCCACGAAATTTAGAATTACAGTACGTTCTCAAATTTGTTCGATACGAATGCAATGCAAACTTTCTGAGAAAGGAGAAATCACCTCGAAAACCGTATCTAACGCTCGAAGTATTTCACGAAAACCGCCTACTCTGCCGCGATAATAACACCGTGATCCTCGAAATTTCCAGTGCTACAGCAGCCAGACTCGACGAGTCCGACGATCTCGGACCTGTCGTTCCCACCGAAGCAAGAGGCGAGCCACGAATGCAAGGAGGAGGAATCGGCGGAGTTCGAGGACGAGCAACAAGCAAACGAGACTCAGCCGCACGAGACAGAGCACAAGAAACGAAAGAGACGCGTCCTGTTCTCCAAGGCTCAGACGTTCGAGCTCGAGAGACGTTTCCGACAACAGAGATACCTAAGCGCTCCGGAACGGGAGCACCTGGCCTCGATCATTCGACTGACGCCCACGCAGGTGAAGATCTGGTTTCAGAATCACAGGTACAAGACGAAAAGAGCAGCCACCGAGAGAGTGGAAGCTAGCGGGAGTGGATGTTCGCCGAGGAGGGTGGCGGTGCCGCTGTTAATCAAAGATGGGAAACCTTGTCAGTCGAAGCTGATGGAACCAGCCACGTATCCGAGCTCTGGCCAGGTTCCTATGCCTCCGTACATGCAGAAACCATACTGGTGGTAAAATTTACGCACGATGGACTGTTGAGTCGTTGTCATCGTCGGACTTATATTGGTACTTGTTGACGCTGGGATGGGGCAGTGGGGATGATTGTTGTAGGAATAGGTTTGTGAACGAAACAGTCGAAGATTGTCCAAGTGACCAAAATTTGGCGAGATATGATAGAAAAATTTTTAGGAAGAAAGAAGAGAAGATATCCTTCTTTTTTTAAGAAACCGTTGATTTTTGACAAAGAGATTTGGCGAAACAAGATGGAATGATGATTATTGGATTAAAAATAACGAAGATTCTTTTTGAAACTGATTCGTGGAGGAATGAAACTGCTGATTATGGAGACTCTCTTTGGGACGAAGAAGAGAAAATTGATTCGTGGAGGATGAATGAAATTATTGACAGTACGATAGATTTTGTGAAACAAGATCAAAAATACAAATTGAACCTTTTGAGAAAAATTTTGGGGAAAAGAGTCTTCCTTTTGTGAATAAATCAACGTCGATGATTGGAAAGATTTTGATGAAGAAGATTCATCGATGATTAATACTAACAATGAAAATTAGATATTTTTCAAAGGAAGAAGGATTTGAAGATCGAGAAAGTTTGTGAAAGGAATATCATAGAACTTGATGTGTGAATTTGTTTGAAATCATCTTTTGCGATCAGTGCGTGCAACTGAGAGAAAATTGAACAGAATGACGATTATAATTAAACAGCTTGGTGAAGAGAATCACTTAATATAAATGCACATCGTAATATCTTACTTAATACGAAAACGAAAGTTTTTTCCTCCACAATATCATTATTAAATGAAATAGATATTTAACACCGTGAACGAAGAAAGAATAAAACCATAATCAGCAATTTCAAAATTCTTACGGAAATATGATAATCGATCTAAAAACAACAAATGATTCAAACATCAAAGATAAATATCGAATCACAGTGAACTTAACAAAACGGCATTATCTTCACAATTATTCGCGAAATATCGAAAATGAAAATCAATCACAAGAAAGCCAATGAGATATCATTAGATCTCAGAATATAATTTTTAAAATATGAAGATTAGAAGAAAATCAAAAAAATCGATCGCAGACAAATCAGTGCATATTCGGAGTAACTTACCAAATATTAAAGATAAAAAGTCAGCGAAAATATTGTACGATCGAATCGAGGAAAGAAGTTGACGAAAAAGAGATCATCGCCATAAGGGAAATCATGTACAGAACTCTCGTGAGAAAATCATCTCTGCTGATTAGATTATCAAGGATCAAACGTGTTATTAACGTAGATATCACTAACAATATCTAAGGGCGAATGTTGACACAGTCCATGATACTCATGTTCTCGTTAATTAGAGTAAAGGAAGTACTGCCAGTCAAAGTTTAATGATCGACGATCATCAAAACACATTAGTGCAAAACACACTAGTTCGATGTAAAAATAATTGGATGTTGCACGATGCGAAGTGAACGAAAATAAATTCGATGAATCATTTCTCCGATGAACGTATCAGTCGGATGAGCACCGACGAAACAAAACGCGTGTTGTGTTTTCTCGTCGAGTTTTATTAGGTTATTTCGCGGATGAAACCAAAGATAATTCGCGATTGGTGAACGCGACTATTCGTAATTGTGAAGGATATGATGAAGTTTAGAGGAAGTGATCTAGCACGAAAACAACTATAACAAGTGGAGGGCATGCCTATAATATGCGCTTGTGGTCAAAAGTGTGGAATCACTAGATGAGTTGATTGTCAATTTTGTTAATTTCTAACATTCTCTAGTCAAACGTTTATTCAATTAAAACGAAATTTAATACTAGAATTGCCAAAGTGTTTAGAACAAGCAATTCGCAATTTTTCTTTTTTTCTTCTATTCATAGATTGAATAATTTCGTAGGTTTATTAAATTATTTAAAATTTTATAGATTTATTGTATAACAGTGAATTTAGTAGGATTTTGTTTTATTCTGTTTCATCTCTCTATTTTATTGTAAATAAAATTTCCCTGTTCCTTGCTCCTTTGTTATTGTATTTTAATTGTTGGTAGTTCTAGTGTTAAGTTAATTAAACCAGAGAAACTGAAAACAGTTTCGACTAGGTTACTCAATTTTGGAATATTTATTTTTTTGCAAAAAGTATTTGCACACAGCCTTATTTTCCAACAAAATGTTTCCTTTTTATTAGATTTCCATAATATATTAAATCATATAAAAATATAACTATTATACTTGGACCTTATTAAATAATATGTAAATACTGTAATAAATATGGTGATGCAAACCATTATGTATATATCTGATAGTAGTATATACATACGATTAATAGACTTTGTTGGCAACAGAATTAAAAATATGCAACAAAGTTGAACTAATCTAGATAAAGTCGAACTGTTCCAGAAAATTGAGTAACTCGAATCTAAATTAACCTAATTATAATAATAACAACACAACTGATGTGACTAAACGACACCAGTTGAAGAGTTAACAAATGTCTTCAAATACTCGCATAAACACCTAAATTAATCAAAAAGTTCATCACCAAATATAACTAAGAACGTGATTTCAAACTTTTGGCCAATATTGTAGGATCGTTAGATTCATGCTTTCCAGATTATTCGTTTCCTTTCTTTGTTTGTACAAAGCTGTCGTTAGTTCACGTAGTGTGCATGTGTGAGTATGTATGCATGAATATGTGTGTATGGGGTGGGGTGTGCTTCAAAAAAAGCATCTTTCACATTTGTACTTAAAAAAATTTTAAACTTTTCCCTACGAATAATAGTCAAAGAAAAAAAAAAAAAAAAAGATAAATATCGAACTTAATATCGTCATTTTTCATGAAATACTTGTAACGAGAAATAAAAACGGTGAACAGCGAAATCGCAATGATTCCTGGTCGCTTATGTAACACAAACACACATCACTTCCTATCAATCTAATCGCAATAACCAGATAAAGCAAGAACAATTCTTCGAGACTAATCCTAATCGAATCAGAGAATAAAATATTAGATCAATTGGTAGATTGCGAATGTTTATGCAATTCTGAGAGATTTGAAGTTTCGAAAGTCTGCGAGTGCAGAATAAAAGTGTAAAATAACTCTACAATCAAATAGTAAATATTTGATATTTATTATGGGTTTGTAAATTTCAATTTTTTTAGATTCTAAAAAGGATCGACACTCTTGGATTCTAATGAGTAGAATAAAATTTAAAACGTCTGAGCTCGAATATTTTATATTATCAGGTACAAATTTACCCATATGTTTAGATTTCCCAAGTTTTATTGCAGATTTATTGTTTCTAGCGACCAGCAAACCTACGATAAAATCTGAAAACTTTAAATTTATAAAGCTACGATACAAAATATATAAAATATCAAATTTGTTATTGTAAATAACTAAAACAGAAAGGTAAATCACTTCAAATATAATAAATGCCACCTTTTCAATGATATTCGTAAAAATATAAAATCGCATAAATATTCGCAATTTATATTTCGACGAAGTGTGATTAGTCGGAAAGGTATACCACATGTGAGATTCAATCATTGAAAAATTTATACAACTAATAATTTTTTTTCCTTTTCACTTTAGATTCAGGGTAACAAAGAGTGAAATGCATATTGTGATCGTTGAGAAAAGTATTAAATAGTAATTGTATGATTTAAATGTTGTAAAATAGACGGAGGCCAGTTTTTATGAATATTTTGTTAAGATTGTACCACTAAGATCCTCGATTGTTTCGTTTTAGTTTTTTTCTCTCTTTTTTTTTTAGACAATTGTTTTGTAAAATGAAGGGAAGCAGCTATTATATAGTATAATTGTATAGAGATGACGTGACAGAGATCCCAGTTTATCGCCTTTAATTAGGTAGCATGTAATTATGGTCGAATAGGTTGTATATATGTACATTGTGTATAATACATAGTAGTCTAATATATCAGATACGTATTTAATAAAATCGAATCTTAAGCGAATCAACTGTCTTTTACTCGTTTCCTTTCCCTAAGTTAAATAAAGTTAGATATAATTCGAGAGAAAATATATAATTATATAATTATATAATGAAATATTGAAACATCATAAATTATACTCTGTAAAATAATAGTGACTACAGTTTATTATTGTAAAATATTTCTAATAAAATATGAATAAAATCTGAGGATACATTATAACACTATTGATCATTTCATAATTAAAGCAACTTAAATATTTTGAAGAACAGATAATATTAAAAATATTGTAAAACGTAGGTTATACGTTTAAATCATCAGTGATTTTTACCTAGCCTATACAGTTTCAAAATTTTCATTAATTCTTTACACTATTCTAATCTCACGATCGATATTAATACGATGTTTCATGATATCTATCATATATCGTGAAATATGTATTTTGTTGTCAAAAAATATTCAATATAAAACTAGACAGCAGCTTCGTATTGAATATAAAACTCGAATTAAGCAGATATAATGATTCAATTATCAATGAAATCTTTTTCACGGAAGGATGATGTTAATAATTATTCAAATAATCTTATAATAAGCTTATCGAAATTTCTACTATACCGTGCTAAAAAAAATTCGTCCAAGTGAATTGAAAACGATAATATATTCTGAATGAAGCGGACAACGTAAGTTATCAGTGGACGCTTTAAGTAGAAAGAATAGTAAATTGAAAAATAATTCTTTATCGTGGGAAATTGCTTCGATTTCTACAATGTATGTTTCCAGGCAACGATCGTGATATTCTCTAATCGACAATTGACACGTCTCGATGATTCTTAGTCATAATAGAGTGAACGATACAGGTAGCTAATTAAATTTCAGATTAAAGTATTAACTTTTACAAACAGAAGCAAGTGTTAATATTAGTGTTGCCTTGGTTAATTATTAGTGTTTGTAAGTATTTGTTAAGCTTAAAAAATATCAGCCTTTGCAAACAAAGAGAATATGAAATTTACAAAAGGTAGAACAACTGGAAGACTCAATTTTGGAAATTTATTTTTAGATGTAATTTAATTTAAAATATAACGAGAAATGAAGGTATTTGAATGTTGCAGTAATTAAAGATTAAAATTCTTGAAAATAGTCATAAATTAGACGCTCGGTGAAATATTTCGAAACCATAAAAATTTTGAACTTCTTTCATATTTATTCTAAAAAACTATGAAAGAAATTTCAAAAGTGTTGTTTCAACGTTCTTATAAAAATTAACTTTTGTACAATCAAGGACAGCATTTACGAGAGAAATATGATGAAACAATGTACACTCGAGACAGATTTCTCCCCTTGTTTCGTCTCTTGTTCCTTTTTATTTCTCTTCTCGACTGTTTCTATAACGTTTCCCTTTTTCGGGACACGCCGGAAGCCGGTGTAGCTTGAGTGACAAGCTTCCGGTTTCCGTTTCCGAGCAGCCATCTTGTTACCGGTTTAGATTTCCTGAGGGCGTCCTGTCGAACCTCGATGGGGAAAGCACGTTTCGACCTCCGTCGAGAATTTTTCATTTTTCCATTTGACAATGCTATATTAATAACATCGTGTCCCACTCGAATTTACATCATACAGAATAGTAAGTTCATTTCGTGAAAGAACTAGAATTTAAGTGGCTGAATTTACTTAGAACTTTTCATTCTTTCATGGAGAAATAAAATTTCCTTCTCTGTCTGTGAAAATTTCCTCCTTTTATTGAAAATATAGTTCGACAGTATGCGAAGAAGAGAAATAACTATTTTTTAAGTAAATATTTGGAGATAGAATAATAGTGGAAATAAATTTAAGGTAAGTGGAAATATTTGAAAATTAAATGTAACGATAAAGAAATTATAACTTTGATAATTGCAATAATGGAAAATTAAGATACTCGAAAGTTGAGGTAATCGAATATTTGAGAATTAGAATCTTTATGAATAAAGGAGCATAGTTGAAAGTTGATAGTAATTTAAAAGTTAAAATATAAATTGCAATGGTGGTGGAATTCTTAAATCTTTGGCCAATATCCTTAACATTTCTGAATTAAACTATCCGAAAATCTGAAAATTAGATTGAATTTCAGATTCTTTTAAAGTATTCGAGAATTGAAATATTTGATAATCAGATATTGGAACGTGATAATTTAAATACGCAAAGATTAGAAATACTTAGAAATTCTAATTTTGCCAGCATAGTCGATATTATATTATTTGCACTAATCTACATTCGAACTTTTTTTAAATTTCAAACTTTATCGCCATGATACAATGAAACGAAGCAAACGTCAATTCTGTTCGAAACAACATCGTGATATTATTTTGCGCGACAAATTAAAGCGATGGTGCGGTAGCGATCGAGATAAATCGATAAGTAGTTCAGATAGGCGATCGTTGATCGATTACTGGCTTTAGTGAAGTGCAGAAACGCCGTGCAATCCGATTGGCTGCCCTCTGATTGACAAATGATAATTTTACAATCGCCAGAGAGAAAAAGGAAATTGCTTGCCGATAAAAAAAAAAAAAAAAAAAA